ATTGTGAAAATGATTGACATGTCTTTTTGATCACAGCCTAATGCCTGACAACAACCAAACTTGTGTTAAATATATATGTGTGTTATACACACACACACACACACACACACACACACACACACACGCTTGTGTGTGTATTTACAAGCAGGTTTATATTTTGATTAAATGAAAAACACAGTTTTACAATTATGTAACTGAACACAACTCAGTGTTATGTTGTATACGAAATTATAGGTTGGGTCTTTGATGTAAAGCTGAATTATCATTTGTCATTATGTTTTCCCAGAATGAACCATGACATGACTTTGCCAGAGTTTAAGTTTATTTTCTACATGGAGTGGGGTCATCGTATGTGGGGCAGACTGGTTGGACTTGCATACATTCTCCCCACTGTTTACTTTTGGAGGAAAGGATACTTCACTCGCTCCATGAAGGGGAAAGTGCTGGGGCTTTGTGGATTTGTCTTCTTCCAGGTAAGAGTCAGTGCAGCAATGCTGATGGTAGAGGATCATAGGAAGTTAATGCCTACCTCACTCTAGTGTTAGTATTTTCTAGAGCAGGTTGGTTGGTGCACTGATTTATTTGTCACAATTAGTGCAAGTTTGTAGTCAAGTTGTATGGATATCAAATTAGATTAAAAAACACATGGATGACTGTGTCATTGCGTGTGTCCTCTCAGGGCCTTCTGGGATGGTACATGGTAAAAAGCGGTCTGGAGGAAAAGCCAGAGTCTCATGACGTCCCGCGGGTTAGCCAGTATCGCCTGAGTGCTCACCTTGGTTCAGCCTTGCTACTCTACTGTGCCAGTCTCTGGACGGGGCTTACCATGATGCTGCCTGCACACAAGGTACAGAGGCAGTCTCTTGCTTACATTCCAAACACATGTTTTTAGTTCCTGCCTGCAAGAAATACAGTTCTAACATTGGCCTGTGTGTGCTAAATACATTTTGTCACACATCTTGTTTATGGTTTTTTAAATTCATGCCTGTTCTTGGCATCTCTGTCTTAGATTGCAGAAACCACACGTCTCATGCAGCTCAGGAGGTTTGCCAAGGGTACTGGTGGACTTGTCTTTCTCACAGCTCTTTCAGGTACTGTTTGATGTATTGTCAGTGCAGTATCAAAGACATAATTCTTTTGAGATAGGAATGATCCCTAGATCTGTAGCTGCAGTCTTCATATTTGAAGCTTAAGTACTACAGTACAATTTAATATTTTATAACTAAATACAGAGCATATTAAGAAAGTCAAAGAGGGTATGAAAAATATGCAATGTTTTTTGTTGTTGCTATTAAATTAAAGGAAATACTTGGACATCTTAGTTTGATATGTAGAAAATCTATTCCTGTAGACTGTAAAGATAATAAAAATATAAACGTAACCAATGCACACGCAGATCTAGATATAAGTGTGTCTAAAATGCTTTGTTGCAGGTGCTTTTGTAGCTGGTTTGGATGCTGGGCTGGTGTATAACTCCTTCCCTAAGATGGGAGAGCGATGGATCCCTGATGATCTGCTGGCCTTTTCCCCCACCCTCAAGAACTTCTTTGAAAATCCCACGACTGTGCAGTTCGACCACAGAATTCTGGTGTGTCCTCATTTCTGTAAAGAGATAACCTTTTATTTTAAATTAAACATCATTTGTACCCTTCTCCTTTCCCATTCAGTCAGCAGCCGGTTGTTGACGGCCTTCCCTCGTGCTTTTTCTTCTAGGCGATCTCCTCTTTGACTGCGATTACAGGCCTCTATCTGTTCTCAAGAAGGATGGCGCTGCCCAGGAGGGCTAAGGTCGCCATCAGTCTCCTTGCAGCAATGGCTTATGGACAGGTAGGCTGTCAGTCAACACAGAAACATATAAACTCAGTCTATTACTCTTCAGTGTGATTAAACTAAAACAAACTTTATTTGCACTCTTCAGGTTGCCCTCGGTATCAGCACACTTCTACTGTATGTCCCCACTCCACTGGCAGCTACTCACCAGTCTGGCTCTGTGGCTCTTCTCTCACTGGCCATTTGGGTTCTGGCAGAGCTCCGCAAGATGCCCAAGTAAATGCCTGCTTCTTTTATTGGCAAATCCAATCCCTACTAGCCACGGCTCAAGCTTTTAAGAGTCAGCAGTGGCACTGGGAACAAGGCTTTTAGAAACAAGTGAAAAAATGGCAGCGTTAAAAACTGAGATGTTTTTCATTTAACACATTTTTATGCATCTGTCCTGCGGTGATGCAAAGTAAACCTCATGCGGTGATATTGAATTACTTCATCACGCCATTATCAAAGCAGAGGTGTTATTTTGATAATTGCTCACCGTTCCGCTTTCCATGAGGTATCGACTGAACCATTTGCGGACACATGTCATTAAAAGATGCCACCTGAATGTGTAGTGTTTTGGTTTTTTAAGGAATATACACAAAAGAAATGCAAAAGCAAAAACAAGCAAGTTTTCATTTTCTGTCCAGCTTCAATGCTGTGTCATTAAAGCTGGACAGAAAAGTGAAAATTTGCAGGGTTTTCAGTTAAGGGTACATTTTCGGTTTGCAGCCAGCCAGAGGTGGGCAGGAACATGTTAAGTAGACTGAATTGCTGTTTTTGTAACAGGATGTTTGAAAGAAAATTTCACTACGAAGACATTACTCACCTGTTGCCTTGTGTCTGTTCATACACTGCCTCTTGGTTGAATTAGATGTGGCACTTGGGATTATGTATAATTATGTATATTTAAATTATGAACCATTTCATGTTGACATTGTGTTGGTGGATTATAAGATAAAAAAACAAAAATGTGTGTAATCTTGATTGTTGCTTTGTACTGTATCTTTAGACATGTAAAGCTGAAAGCACTGTCTTATTTTAATAAAGACAATTATGTACAGTCTTTAAAATTCAAACTCCAGTCCATTTTGCATAGTAACTGTGATTTTTATTGTCTCTGTACAAAATATACACATTTTAAATACGTAATGCAACCAGTTGAGGCTAGATAACTAGACAGTCAGTACAACGGGTTAGTAGGTTTTCATTGTTCTAGACACAGTACATGCGGGTATAGACAGATTTAACTTGTGGTCAGGAATGGAAGTTAAAAACTTGGCAAGGAACAATCAGAGCCAAACCCCTTTTTTTTCCTAGAAAATAAAAATTTGAAGAACAGAAAAAAAGGAATTGCAGAAGTGCATATTTTCATCAGGGTCTCAGTGCACCCTTACTGTGTGCTCTGAGTGGAATGAGAAGTTGGATGAGGAGCTGATAACGTAGAGGAAATTATTGCTATTCCATGATAATCTCTGCATTTAAAAGACACTGCAGCCTACTTCACTATGGCCTGAGCGCCTCTGGTACTTATATCATCTTGGATTTAAGAGTAGATCTAGTGTGAAAAGGACCAAATTATTAATGGCTAAGAAATTTTCTTAAAAAATAAATTATTCATGAGAGCCTGTGGGTTCACAACCTAAAATTACACTTCAGTTTGGACTGTGTGCAGGTAAACCACATTTCCAGTTAACCAAACTAACACCCTTTTATCTCTGATTGCCCCTTGTCCTATGTACTACACAGCATCTCCCTCTCTCTTCACCCACGGATGGGCTATATGTCTTAACTTAGAGTGGCTTTATATACCTCTTAAATCTTCTCTTTGGTGTTACAGAGAGAGGGAGAATAAGGAATGGAAGGCTGGGCATAAAAAAAAAACAACAAAAAAAAAACTTATTAAACCATGTCTCTCTCACTAACAGTACACACCCACATACTATGCCTCTTTTAAATTGAATGAGCCTAATTTAATGCAACAAGGGTTTTGAGATTTTTTTTTTGAAGTGGTAGGACCTGCTACAACCACATGACATTTCCGATTACAAGAAGTTCACAAATACAATCTGCAATCTAATAAATTCCCCTTGAATGTATATTGATAGACGAGTACGACTGTGGTATGCCAGTCCCGTGTTGCGACAAGCTGGGATGGTCGAAACATCTCAACTATAGTGCAATCCCCACGCTGTACTGCCTAACATCACACCACTGGGAATGCTAGAAAATGTACAACAGTCAATAGACACCTACAGCTAGACCTGTAATAGTTTGGAAGGCCGGGAATTATTCTACCAGAATCCCATGAATGGAGGTGGGTGTTGTCCCATTAGAGTCTTACATAGGTAAGATGGATGACATCTCTTTCTGTTACACATGCACACACACATACACAAAGGGTGAGGCACCTGTGAATGACTAGGAACAGCAGACAGACAAGCAGACTTTGGAGTATCTCTGTAAATACATAATTGGATATTAGTGACATCATCATGCGATACTGAAATCAGTTCCTCATGGAAAACAACATGTTTGAACCTCCATGTGTAAAACAGGATCGCTTGGATGTCCATTTCGTCAGTTGTTCCCTCAGGAAGTGTCTTTCTCTTTCTCTTCTCTATCGTCCACTAGATGGTGGTAGATTCATTTCTATTTTCATTGCCGGGGCGTCAGCGCTCTAGCAGCTCCAGGGAGGTGTCACCCACATGCACAGAGGCAGGATCCGATTCACAAATCCAAATCTTAGCCATCACTGGGAAAGGGGGAAAATCATCTTAGGTCACGGTTTGGGGATAACTGCTTTCCTCTGAGTTCAGCCATTACAAGCTGCGATAGTTCCTCCATCAATAATAACAACAATAATAATAATAAATAAAAGTTCCGATAAAACAGGTGGGGAATCTTGCGCGTGCCTGTGAACCCGCCGCTTGCCCTCTTTCTCTGTGTCTCTGGGGTAAAACTAAGATTCTGCATGATGAGGAAGGGAGTTGGGGAAGCTCCATTGTTGCTTGGAGAAATGCCACTGGGGGTCCAGGAGCCAGGAGGAAGGAGAGGGCCCCTCAGTGCCCTCAGGACTCACAGCTCTCAACAGAGACACAAGCACAAGCTTGCAAGTCAGGAAACGGCAACACACACACACACACACACACACACACACATACACACAACTCTCAAACTTTTCAATCCTGATTCCTCTTGCACACACACACATACACTCCCCTCCCTGGTGCCAGCGTCCTAACTGGTCCAGACTCTTAGATGACATTGTCAAACAGCTGCATTGACTGCATGATGTTCTCATCCTAGACAGAGAGAAGAGGTTTGAATAAGGAGGCGGTGTCACATCTCACCTCAATGATTCCCTGGAAAACTAACTTTCAGTTTTTTACTGGCCTACCTTTTTGCAAGACTCAATGAACTCCTCTATGGTGACCACTCCGTCTTTATTCCGGTCCATTTTCTGAAAGAAAAACAGCAGCAGAGATTTACTTCACTGAAAGTTCAAGAATTTTGTACATTATATTCTTTTATAGAGCAATATATAGAGGTTTGTGGTTTTAAGCAATCATAAAATGAGGGGTCAATAAAAAGTAAAGACTGCTGAGTTTAACCTGGAAGAAGCTCTCCACATGTTCTCTTGGGGCATCATCCTGCATAGTGGGGTATGTGTACTTCCCCATCATGTCATAGATGGATTTCATGATGTCCAACATCTCCTGCAAAGTAAAGAACAAATGCCAGGCTTTCAGAAGTACAGAGCTTAGAGTCCTACATGCATGATCTTTTTGGATATTAGGTGGGTTGTTTTCCACCTTGTGTGATTGGAAATGACTCACTAGTATGACACATATGAAATATTATACACTCTTTTATGTTATGAATTAAATATGACATCTGTGACCATTTTGCTCAGTCTCACCAGAAAACAACTTGGTTATATCATAATCACATGAGGCCATATATGCCACAGCGTATGTTTGACATACTGGAGCAGAGTTCTAAATTTTGAAATAAAAGTTGATGTATTCAGTGATCAATATCCCGGCAGACAATGTCCACACACAGAGTAACAAGTTGCCAAAACTTGGACAATGAGGACATTTCCTCATCGTCCCAAGGCTGGAGCTATTACTGCAAGGAATTGAGAGCTACTGTATCTAAACACAGTGCAACATGTGTGTGTGTGTGTGTGTGTGTGTGTGTGTGTGTGTGTGTGTGTTACCTCTTTGGTGATGCAGCCGTCCTTGTTCAGGTCGTACAGGTTGAACGCCCAGTTTAGCCGATCATTAATGGTCCCTCTCAGGATGATAGACAGGCCAAATACAAAGTCCTGAGATAGAAAGGGAACAACTGACTGTATTGTTTTGGCATTTCTTAAATCATGACACAGTAAGTGAAGTCAAATTCTTATCACAGCAATAATCTCAATGGACAGGTATTTAGAGGGAGCACATTTACGTGGCTACAGCTGTGGTAGTGAATTTTCCTGGAGCAACATTTTTGCTTTTAATCGCTCAAACACACAAGAATACAACTCACCTCAAAACTAACCGAGCCGTTCTTGTTAGTGTCGAAGGCTTCAAACAGGAAATGTGCATACATACTTGAATCTGCAGAGGTGGAGACGTATGGTAACGCGTGTGCCATCAAAACATGAAGCAAAGTCTTTGAAGAGCTAGGATTAGCAGAGAGCTAAATATAGCCTGGATATAAAAATAATTTCAAATACAACTGGAGGCGAGTGGTTAACATTTCATCAACCTAAATATCATGGAATGAAAAATTGCCTTGCCTGGCAGTGCATGTACTATAGTCCTCCCGAGCACATTTATAATGAGCTAATTATGTTCATTCCATTGTAATGAGGAAAAGGTACATGTATACCTCTACAGGATCAAATGAATGATTTTGTTTACACTTTTACCTGAAATGTATTAAATAAATGAAGACAGAAGGAATGGTGTAAGGGAAAGTATTATGGACACAGCTGGAGCTCCTTAGGTTCAGTGGTCGGAGCTGACAACTCACCTCCCTGAGGAAAGAACTGGGAGTAAATGTTCTTAAAGTTCTCCTCATTCACCACACCACTCGGACACTCCTGGGATACAAATGTGAATTGAGAAAACTCATTAGTTCCTCTAGCACAGAATATATATATATATATGTAAAGGGCTACACGTCAACTTCAGCTCTCGCCAGACTGATTCTGCTCTGAACTCCCAAAATGATGCAACCAGAGCCAGATTTCATTTTTTGATTTGTAGTCTTTCTTATTACTTCAGCCAGACCTACATTTTTGAAGCCCCTGTAGAGGACTTGCAGCTCCTTCTTGGTGAACTTAGTCTGCTCCTGCAGCTTGTCCATGCTTTCAGGGCGATGGCACACAGTGGATAACTCAAAATCATCTTCCACGCTGTCTGTGTGAGGGAGAGACCAGTGTTAGTTCGCATGAATCATCTCCACACCCACACAAAGCCTCCAGAGACTGCCATGACCTGGCCAACATACTGAAGTCATCAAACTGATACTGAGCTCCTCATCCAGTACAAGTCTTACATAGAGCAAAATAACACAGTTTGTTCATAACAATGTTAATTCACTGAGGGAAAATGTGAGTGAATGCAATTTTCTATTTATAATCATGACGGCACAAAGCCAAGCAATTTCCACACACCTTTGTACCAGCATAAGCTTTATTTCCTTACTTCCTATCACAAAGCAAAACATGGTGAGTACAACATCTTTAAATTTTCTTACTTTCAAATTCAAGTTTACTAAAGAAACTGGTCCTGCACTGAGGAAAGAAAGTCTCTACCACATATTCCTCATCCGATTCTCAGTCCATGTGTTTCTCCAAAAATAACTCTCAACTCAAAGTGTGTGCCATGTCTGATAAGTTCCCAGACCTCTAGAACCTGTTAGTTTTGACCTCACCTTAATATCTCACACACACACACACACACACACACAAACACACACACACACAGACACACATTCCACTGCCCAAGGGAACAGCACAGTCATCAAATCCCAAAATACAAAAACGGGTCAGACCCATTAGCCACAATAACACCAGGGTGTTTTTGAGTTTGTGGGGTTTGAGTGAATTCCTGTAGGTGGATTAATGTGTACACTGAATGTTTCGGCAGCTGCGCGCACATGACGGCATCCACACAAGAGGCCGGACACATGGAAGAACGTAGAGATGTATAGAGAGTGAAGGAGCACTTGCTTTGACTGATAGAGGGGGCAGCCGAGGGCTTGCAGCACGGCAGCAGCTTGAGGAATCGCTGCTTTATGGTTTTTTTGCTTTGGCTGGTGGAAGGATTACCTGCAATCACCAACCATAGCATAAAGGTTAGAGACACACACACACACACACACACACACACAAACACACACACACACAAACACACACATGTGCACGCAAGTCTGTGATTTCATTCTGTTTTCTCACGCACACATGCACACGTGTCCGTAAAACCACAAACACACTCCATGCAACGGACAGATGCAACAATGAGGCAAACTGGTAATTGCCTGCTGACCTGGTTTAGCGATGGGAGACCACACGTACCACTTCAAACGGTAGATATTATCGCACAACAGCAGCACAGCGTGACCCCTAGAAACGCACAGCTTCCCTCATCAGTCTGGCTCTCGTATCGCATTGCCACATTCAGTCGACTGTATGAGGTATTAGAAAACCCAGTGGAGAGTGTCAACTTCTAACAAAAGTCAAACATCAACAGTTTTAATTCACAATCGGCTTAAACAAGGACATCATTTCACTTCATATTTGCCATATTTGCAAAACCGCCTCAACCAGAGCCCATCACGCCTCACACCACAGCACCAGTCCAGCTCAACACAAACCTCCTGATGCCCATTTACAGAGTAATAATGAAAATCAGGCAGAAGTAAAACAAATACACACACATGAACCACGTACTTACTCTTGCCTCTTAGTTTCCATGGTAACAGTCCCCTCACCCCTTTCAGCAGGACCCCTGCAGTCTGAGGGATGAAGGCCGTGATGGGTTGAAAACTAATACCACCACAGTACCAACACTGACAACCCACCCCGTTGTCTCCCTGCACCATGGGGCCTCAGGGACTGTGGTCCTCAGAGCCAGAGGCTGAGCACATTGTCCAATGGATACCAGATTAATACATCCAGTCGCCTAGCAAAGGCCCAGCCCTCTGCCCCAGGGTCTGTGCAAGTGAGTACATTATCTTTTTCCATAAGGACCTAACTGCTGACCACAATACAGAAATGAATAACAAATACAGTGGCCAACAGCCATAGATACAAAAGTTACTTTTCAAGTAAGACACAGGAGACTAATTATGCCAGGAGTAATGCTGTATCTCCATCTGCTGAGGAAGATCATGTGATTTGATCAAAAGCTCCAGACTAGCTACCAAATGACCCTGAGGTGGGATTGTTTTGTTAACTTATTGTAACTTCTTTCTATACTGTTGTTGGTTTGCTTTACTGCATGCATCATACTTTTATAAGTTCACCATAAGCTTTTATAAAACCTGATATTCAAACTGATTCACAACTGCAGCTGTCAAATAAAATTTCAATTTGCAAGATATAGTTGAGGATAAGTATAAAGTAGCAAATAAAACTGGAAATACTAGTAAAGTCATAAAACTGTACATGCACATAAACATACTTGGATACTTGCCACTGCTGCTTAAGGTGTATCTAATGGGTACAGCATATCTAAAGTTTGGAAAGTGTCTGGCATAGCATCACAGATTACAGTTTTGATGAAGTATCTAATAGCAACTGTTGTGAAATATGTTTTTTAAGTAACCTGATTGTTCTGAAAGCCTGTGTAGAGATTGGTACGAAAACAAACAAACAAAAAAAAATGATTTGTATGCCTCTGCTCTGCATGGAACACTGAGCTTCAAATATTTGCTTAGATATGTTTGTTGTCGGACAGGGACACCTTTTCCTCCCTCACTGTTTGACAAGCTTCTCCATCTCCTTCTGCTTCCTTCTCTGTATGTTTGTCCTTTGCTGGTGATGAGGTTTCTTGCTTGTTGTGATGTCTTTGAGTAAATGTGCTACGGCTGTCTTGGCAAAGTCTCTCTTGGAATAGAGATATTTGATCTCAGAGGGATTAACCTGATTTTAATAAGCACATGCACACAAGTGCATCTCTTTAAAGGTCCCTATATTTTATAAAAACATGCCCCCAAAACATCTGTCTGTCTGTGTCTATCTGTATCTATATATCTATCGGTGCTGAGCTGCAGTTTTTTTCTCTTTCACAGCTGTTTTAAAGCACACTATCAAATTAGAATCTATAAGACACAGTACTCAATATGGAAGTTGCATCTAATGTTAACATACTACTTTGGTTGAAAACAAGTAGGTTACAGCACTCCTTTCGCTATTGAAGTAACATGTGATCAATTTGTTCTCCGGCCTTTGAAGTTAAAAATTGTTTTTTTGAGTGGCACTGACAATGAGACCAGGAATTCTTTCATTTTAACCTGAGATGGTGGAAAAGTTAAAAGAGACCAATAGCTGGTCTGATGAGGATGGCTGTTGTGCAGCATTATGACACTTGCACCGTGAGCCCTGTGGTGATTGAGCAATTAGTGTTCAATAGTTTCCTCCAGGGTACACTGACAGACCACCACAAACTCTTCAGGATATAAGGAAAACAGCACTATTTTTAGCTTGATGGCAACACATTTTTGACAATATCCAGTAACTTTTGAAGGAGCCTCATGTTTCATGAACCCAAGAGATCTGAGGATTTTCTCAAGGCACAGAGAAGCCATGCAATTTCCTCAGCTGAAGTGAAAGCAGCAAACACATTACAGTTCTGAGCCACAGTGATACGGTACACTGCTGATGCAGATGCAGACTGGTTGTGCAGATCTGTAGGCCCCCCTGACGTCTCGTGATGAGAGAAGTAGAACTGTAGTTTTCAGAAATATTATCATCAAATTAAAACTTCCTGTTGGTTCAGTTGGTTCTTCATTTGCCTGTGGTTTCAAATGAGGCCTGGGACTTGTACCTAATGTCATTAATCTCCTCCCACCTCTCTTGCCTATCCTTATCTAGCTATATAGTGATACATTCCCATAAAGCTGAGGGACTCACAAGAGGCAAAAACAAAAGAAAGAACATGCAGCAAGAGCAAAGATATCCTGACTTTCAGCCCCTAATGTAGTTTAAACTCCAAAAGCACCAGAACCTAAATTTCCCATGATGCACCTTTTTTTGCTAGAGCCTCATCTGGTAAAAGTGCTCATCATATAAACTCCATGCCTCCAGTTTATCATGCAGGCTTTAAAATTAAAATGTGTGGCCTCAAGGTGAAGACATGGAAAGGCCCCCTCTCCCAGAGACAGAAGCGAGCAGACTGATCTTGATACATAAAATTGTTGGAGGGCACATCTTAATCACAGTAAAAACGAAAAGTAAAATCCATGGTTGATAAAATATTTTACAGACAGAGCATTTTAGATGCAAGTAGTTAAATATTGAATGATAAATTTCAGAAATATCTTCTTCCTACATAAGAATGTGTTTTGTGGACATGAATTATTCATTCAAATGTATTTGTTTGGAAGTTTTGAATCTCATTTGTGTCATAAATGCAGCAGTTATAACATTCTGCAACTATATGTGAGTTAGAAAGGTGTGGATACACTGCATGTGCTTTGGTATTTCAGTCTCAGACGAGGCTATACACACACACACACACACACACACGTACTACGCAGGACTATAAACAGATGTGAGAAACATGACAACTATTTAACCCTGAAAACACTTCAGAAACATACACAGACCCCCCCCCCTGCCACCTTTCCAGCTGAGTGTTTTCCTCCATCATATTAATCATTTCTGACTTCTCACTCAGAGCCTCTCTCTTGCTTCCTTACGATTTCTCTTACCTGCCACGGAAATGTCGATGAGCCCCAGAAAGTGCATCAGTTTGAGGGAGCTGCAGACCACCAGGAGGATGCCCACAGTCTGCAGCCCCTCCACCTCCCACTTGTCTTGGAAGAACAGATGCATCCTTTCCCCCCTTCCTTTCTCTTTCTCTGTTTCTGTCAACAAAAATCTTTCTCTTGCCCCAGGGCAACCACGCCCCCCTCCCCCCCTCGTTCTCAGCTCCAACCAGGAATGCACCGTCTTTCTCTCTTCAGTCTCTCCTCTCAGTCTCCCTCTATATGCCGGCATTCGGCCATCCTAACTCCGCACGGCACCCCACCCGCTTTCTTCACTGAAGGTAGAATGTTATTCTCCTCGTTTCTTCATTGAGAGGGGTAAGTGCGTGGCTGCAAGACTGTCGATTTGCTGCTCCACACCCGCCCACCTCCGAGGCTGTCAAAGGTTGTTTAAGTTCCAGGTGAAGTTCAGGCAATTCACTGTGTATCTCCTGGCAGGTTGGCAGATATTGTTTACCGACTCTCTCTGCTTTTCCAGCTACTGACTCTCAAACTGTCTCTACTCTCTGCCTGTCCTCCCTCTCTTCCTCGCCTTACCTCCGTCACTCTCCTCCTGCTGTGTCCCTCCCCATGCTTAATTGGGTCAGTGATGGGACTGAGTGGAGATGAGGAAAGAGGAGGGAGATGAGAAATGGAAGTAGGGGAAAGGAGGGAGGAGTACTACTTGTAGGTTAAGTGGGGAAACAGAGTGGGAAACATACAAAAGACAGATGAGAAGAATGAACTGGGAGATGAGATAGGAGGTGAGACGGGGAAAGGAGGGGCAAGATGGAATGGATAAGGATGAAATAAAAGCAGCCAGGGGTATAGCAGGGACTGAATCCAAAAAAAAAAACAAAAAAAACAAACGATGAATCAAAAAGAGGTGGCAGGGGGAAAATGAAGGACAAAATTCGGAGAAGAAGAAGCAGAGAAAGACTAACAGAAGGGAGGAGGGAAGCAGTGACGACAGATATCTGACCCAGTGGCTACTGTGGACGAACTCACAGATGTGGCAATCTCCCCTGAGTGCGAAGTCAACACACGTGCACACACAAACACACAGCCCGGAGGCAAAATCTGGCTATAACATGTATTGCATATGCAATCAGCGCATTGGGGAATATTTCTGTCGGGATGGGATAGATTGATGTCACATCTGGCACACTGACATCCTACCACAGATAGACACTCTATAAAAAAAAAAGGATTTCAAAGAATGGAACCATGATCATCCATTTTGGAGACCTGCCATGTGGAATTAATATAACACATGTAGGATTTAGGCTTGAGCCTGTAACTTTTCAACAATGTGTAACAAGAAGAGAAAATGTAATTAGGCC